TCATTCTATCTCCAGATTAATTTCTGTCACTGAGTTCATATTTTCCTTCTTCTCTGTTCCAACTTTTGCATTCCAGTCACTCATTATTACTAATGCAGCTTGACTGCAAATTTGATCTATCTCAGACGTAAAAGTTAGCAGAAACCTTCTATTTCCTCTTCTTTGGTTCTGGTTGTTTGTTCCCATCCCGAAGAAAAGTGACCCAACAGAATGTGGAAATTATCAAACAATATCATTGATATCATATGTAAGCAACATTCTGCTGAAGATTATACAGAAACAACTGGAACAGCACAGAGAACTTCCAGAAGTCCACGCTGGGTTCAAAAGGGGTCGAGGTAGTAGGGATATTATAGCTATTATTAGATGGATCTCGGCAGAAAGCAAGGAGTACCAGAGGAATGTCTATCTGTGTTTCATTGATTATGAAAAGGCACTTGACTATGTGGATCACAACAAACTGTGGCTGACTCTGAGAAGAATGGGAATCTCAGAACACTTGATTGTGCTAATGCAAAACTTATACTTGGACCAGGAGGCAGTGATCAGAACTGAGAAAGGAAACACTGCATGGTTCAAAATTGGGAAGGGTGTATGCCAGGGATGTGTACTCTCTCCATACTTTTTCAACCTATCTGCAGAACAGATTATCCAGGTGGCTGGGCAGTATTAGGAGAAGTGTGGCATTAGGATTGGAGGAAGATCCAACAACAATCTGCATTATGCAGATGACACAATCATGCTTGCTGAAACTGAGGAGGACCTGAAGCGTTTGCTGCAGAGGGTCAAGGACTGCAACCTTCAATATGGATTGAGGCACTATATCAAAAAGACAAAGATTCTCACCACTGGACCAATTGGCAGCATCAGGATGGATGGTGAAGAGGTTGATACTATTCACAGCTTTAGTTTGCTTGGCTCCACAATCAACACTTTTGGCACCAGCAGCCAGAAAATTAAAAGACCATTGTGATGGGGAAGTCTGCTATTAGAGACTTCATCAAAGTACTGAATGTCACTCTGGAGACTAAGGTGCAACTGAAACAGGCCATAGTCTTTGCAATCACTTGCATCACTTGCTATGTGTCAGAGAGCTAGACAATGACAAAGGAGGATAGCAGGAGAATTGATGCATTTGAGCTGTGGTGTTGGAGAAGAGTATTGAATATACACACCATGGACTGCTAATATAATGAACAGTTTCGACCTAGAGCGGGTTAAACCAGGCTGCTCCTTGGAGGCAAGGATTCTGAAGCTTCGTCTGACAAACTTTGGACACGTTGCAAGGAGGGACCCATTCTTGAATAAGGACGTCATGCTTGGGAGGGTGGAGGGACAGCACAGGAGATGAAGACTCTCTATGAGGTAGATTTATTCAGTGACTGGGGTAACCGGGGCAGGTGTGTCAGAGGCAGTGCGATTGGCACAGGATAGAGCATGGTTTAGGGCTGTTGTACATAGGGTTGCAATGAGTCACAGGCAACTTGACGGCACATAACAACAACAATTCACAAACAAGTACTTCTAGCAATGCATGTAGAATGGCAAATGTGGTATAGTTGAAGCTAACAGGATTAGTAATGTTTAAATCGATATTTTAGAACTATGAATGATAAAAGGTACCATTTAAATGTATGCTAACAAAATGATGGTGCTTCCCTTCTAAACATTGTACGTGTGGGGAATTACACTGAAAAATTTTGACAAGTTTGCTAATAAAGAGTCCGTATTCAAAGCAAAGAAGGTATGACTTTTAGGATATCTGGTCACTCATAAACACTTTATCCAATTACCATTTTATTCTTAAAACAATATTCTGTAGGTGCACATGCTATTATTTTTACATTATTTAATAAAAAATTTGAGCTCTGGTGAACTAATGATAAGAAGTTGTGCTGCCAACTCAAATGTAAGTAGATCAAATCCACCAGCTGCTCCTTGGAAGAAAGATGAACAATCTCTT